ACCAACTTGGACAAACGTCACGTGGGTCACTTTGGGAAACGTGGTGTGTGGCATGACCACTAAAGAGGAAGCAGAGCTCCACCCACTGTCAGCCTTGACCAGCTGTGGCCGCGGACTGTGAGCGGGCACAAACAGGTAAGTACTGCCGAGACCAAGACTGGGGCCGCTCTCGTCACTGGTGTGGCGCGATCGGGCTATGACCCCTTCCTGGGGCTTCCCCTTCCAAGCCCCGGGGAAGGGAACGCTCCCAAAGCAGCCTGTCTCCATGAAGGCCAAGTTCTTCAGCAGAAGAGCTGAGGAGAAGATGAAGGCCTTTGGTGGGGCCCAAGTGCTGGGAGCCTGAAGCCACACGGGGGAAAGTTCATTGAATACTCACAAGTCAAAATACATACCTATTTTTTGGTGTGCTGCAAAATTGTAGTAATTAGTTTATGTATGCCATGAGTTGAAAAGGTTTAAAATTGCTACCCTAGATTAACAGAGACACAGAACCAAATGCAACAGATAAACTTGGATGCATTTTTAAAGCCACATGTCAGCATCACACTCCATTCCCAAAACTAAAAGCAAACTATTAGTAACCGAATCCAGCTGAGTGGTAAACAGGTGTTCACTGTTATACTAATGAGTCTTTCCATTACTTCTATATGCTTCACACTGTCCTTGATAAATGTCATTTTAAATCCATGCATAGCACTGCACTGTCTTGTATCATGAACTCTTTAATACCTTTCCAGCCCTGGCTGCTGTGGCTCAGTGGATTGAGCGTCGGACTGCAAACCAAAGGGTTGCTGGTTCGATTCCCAGTCACGAAACATGCCTGGGTTGTGGGCCAAGTCCCCAGTGGGGGGTCTTGCAAGAGGCAACCACACACTGATGTTTTTCTCCCTCTCTCCCTCCCTTCCCCTCTACCTAAAAATAAATTAAAACACACACACATACACACAAACAAAACCCCCTTCCAATTTCTCTTTCTTTTAATATGATGAGTATCTTTTGTATATAAATGTTTGCTCACATTATTTCTTTAAGGTATATTCTTATCAGCAAGGAGAAGAATTACTGTGTCAAAGAGGGAACATTTTAACAACTCTCCCTCTTTTTAGAAAGATTTTATTATTTTTTTTAGAGAACAAGGAAGGGAACAAGAAAAAGAGGGAGAGAAACATCCATGTGTGAAAGATACCATCACTAGCTGGTATCTCTTGCACCAGTTGCCTCTCGCATGGCCCCAACCAGGAATCATACTGGCGACCTTTTGATTCGCAGGCTGGTGCTCAATCCACTGAGCAACACCAGCCAGGGCTAATAATTCTCTTTTTTAAATTTTGTATTTTTATTGACTTGAGAGAAAAACACTGATTTGTTGTTCCACTTATTTATTAATTCATTGGTTGCTTCTTCTATGTGCCCCAACTGGGGATCGGAAGAAAAACAAAACAAAAAACGCAAACATACAATATCTCCTTGTATCGGGATGATGCTCTAACCAACCAAGCTATCTGGCCAGGGTGATTTTAATGATTCTTGATACGTATTTCCAAAGACTTTCCCCTTAAAAGGCTGTACCTTTTCCCACCACCCTTGCTAACAATAAATGAGTATTTAAAAAAAAAAACCTACCAAGGGCCCTGGCCGGTGTGGCTCAGTTGGTTGGGGGTCGTCCTGCAAAGTAAAGGGCTGAGATTCCTGGTTGGGGCGCACACCTGGGTTGCAGGTCTGGTCCCCGCAAGGGGCGCAAACAAGAGTCAATCAGTGGATGTTTCTCTCCCTCTCTTTCTCTTCTCCTTCCTCCAAAGATAAATAAATGAAATCTTTTTAAAAATCTACAAAGGATTTTGCTGATTTTACATATGCTATGATAGAAAATGAAGACGACACAGTACTAAGTGGTCAGTGATTTTCTGAGTAATAGAAATTATGAGTGATTTTCATCTTTGAATTTATTGGATACTATCTGATCTCTTTCTATAACACATATCATTTCTGTAATTTAAAACCCAGTTAAACTTCACAAAAAAGCAAATATTGTATAGTTCCACTTATACAGATGCCTAGAATAATCAAATTCTTGGAGACAGAAAACAACATTTACCAGGGGCTGGGGGGGGGAGAGGGCGGGGCGGGGCAGAAAGGAATGTTAGTGTTTATAGTTTTTCCACTATTATGTGTTTATAATGAACATTCATAATTTGTGTATGTAATGTAAATTTTACTGTTTAAATTCTACTTTAACCATTCTTTAAAAAAAAAAAAAAAGAAAAGAAAAGAAAAAAGAAAAAAAGATTTTGCCCTGGCTGGCATAGCTCAGTGGGTTGAGCTCGGGCTGCAAACCAGGCATCACAGGTTCGATTCCCAGTCAGGGCACATGCCTAGGTTGCAGGCCATGACCCCCAGCAACTGCACACTGATGTCCCCCCCACTTCCCTCTCTAAAAATAAATAAATACAATCTTTTTTTTTAAAGATTTTATTTATTTTAGACAGAGGGGAAGGGAGGGAGAGAGGGAGAGAAATACCAATGTGTGGTTGCTTCTCACCCACCCACCCCCAACCAGGGACCTGGCCCGCAACCCAGGCATGTGCCCTGACTGGGAAGCAAACCAGCAACCCCTTGCTTCATAGGCCATCGCTCAATCCACTGAGCCACACCAGCCAGAGTGATCTGAACCACTCTTGAATGCACAGTTCAGCGGCATCAAGTGCATTCACACTGTTGTGCAATCGCGACCACTATCCATCTCCAGAACTTTTTAATCCTCTCAAAGTGAAAATCTGCATCCATTAAACACCTTAAATACCCACTAACAAGATGACAGTTAAACACATAACTAAATGTCAGACAAGGACATGGATGTGAATTTTGACAGAAATAGGTCTGACATGCTGAAAAAAGGCTATTATGTGAAGAGTGTGACCTCATTTTGACTTTGAAAAAAGAACTATACGGGTACAATATACACAGAAGTCTGTGAAGCTAAACCCCAAAAAATGTTAGCCGCGGCCACTTCTCCACGTTCAGACCGTGGGCAGTGCTCTTCTCTTCCGCATCTCCTGCCACCAGGCACTGTTCCTTCCATAATCAGACAAGCAATAAAGCTCTCCAGGAGGAGAATAAACCAGGCCCCACAAAGGACGCACCAGCGGCCCGCGGACAGATGAGGGGCCCGGAGGCTTGTGCACATCTCCGGGCCGGCAGCACGCGTCGCACGAGGGTGGCGCAGCTGCCAGATGTGTGACTCCATCTCAGGCTCTGAAGAGGACACCAAACCTCTTACTTAAAGGGCAATAGAGCGGGAGCACCTGAGCACACGAGGACCTGCACACGGGAAAGTGGGTTCTCTCGAGTGGGCGGGCGGGGGTAGAAAGCACTTTGCAGGGAGAGCGAGCCGGCAGCTAACTAGCTGTTAGCTGTCAGGTGGCGGCTCTCTCCTTGTGGGAAGCGGGGCCTCTGCCGCCGGCCCGTGTCCCAGAGCCAGGACACTTGTCACTCTAAATGCCCAAATTAGTCGCTTGGCTGAGTGCTCACGGCTGGGCATTTGGGCGCGCTCGGCAGACGGAGCCCTGCCTGAGCAGACCCCGCCTGCCTCCCACGCACAGCCCTCCCTTCACCCAGCCCGCATGCCCGGCTGTGAGTCCGACGCCCCCCCATCCCAGCCTACAGTGCCAACAGCCCCTAAACTCCCGGTGCCAACTTACAAAAGCACCTCATCGACGGCTGCCTCTGCGGCCGAGGGCTCAGCGGGTGGCTCAAAGGCTACGGCTGGTCCTAAACCTGTGGTGTCTGCCAGGGGCTGCCCAGGGGCCGAGGCGCAGGAAAGAAATGACCAGGGCAGGATGAGACCCTGATTCACTTCACTGCCGGGAGGAAAAGCCACGCAGCGTGAGGCTGCCAGAGATCAGTGTGGCCAGGCCTGTGAGGCCTCGGAGGGCTGCTTACTGAATCCTCGAGCAAGTGATAGAAAAGTCTTTCTGGTCTGAGTTGCTTCATTTAAATAATGGGGAAATAATCACACCTCAAGGGAAAACGGCAGCAGTTAAGTGGGGTAAAGCAGGGACGGTCTCCAGCACACAGTGCCATTGTCATCAGCCACACGAACTGTGCACGAGGCCCTTCACTTCCTCACCCATGACGAGGGCTGCTGTGGGGAGAGGCCGCGTCCTCGAGAGCTGCCCCATACTCCCATCGCCTGTACTACCGCTGCAAGCTGGCCGCACCTTGAAGCAATTTCAGAAGTTTCCCCAAAGACAACATAAGAAAATAAGAGTGAGCTGAGGACTGCAGAACTGCCAGGAAGGGGTTCCCGACTCAGTCACCATGTGGACTTCTGCCCTCAAACCCCAAACCCGATTCTGCGTAACAGTGAAGACCGGTTTTGTTAAGGTGAAAGTGCCCACGTGCCCCAGGAAATGGAGGCTGGAGACACGACCACATTTGCTGCTGAGGGAACGCACTGGTGAATGTACTGGCGAGCCACCTGTGGAGGGCAGTGGGGTGGCGTCCACCAAGGAATAAAGCACATTTTCCCGGGCAAGCTTCTCGCTTGCTAGCAGTGCATCCTGAGGCTGGAGCTGCACACATGGCCACAGGCTGCTGGGACGGAAGCCTGGCCACACTCAAGGCTGTGTGGCCTGAGTCAGGGGACTCGGAGCCCCCGTGCTGGAGGAAGGCGGGAGGAAACGATGTCCTTGCAAAGAACACCCTGAGGAGGCGCTGCAGAGTGAAAAAGGCACACAGCAGTGCACGCAGACTCAACACCCCTGAACTCTGGATCATGCCAATACAAACATCTACCGAGCAAACAGACTGGGCACACCTGTTTCCCACATGCGGTGGCCACACTGACGCAGAGACCCAGGGAGGAGAGGCCTGGGAGGACGGGACGCGGCACGGAAGGCTCTCCTCAGGGCCTTCAGTCTCAGCACAGCACCTCCCCAGCTCACGGCAAGCACCGAGGGGGTTTACCAAGCTGGGGTGAACCCACAAACGCCGAGACCCACCTGACAAAGTCTTCGGGAAGCAGGTCAGGGCTCACACCCAGGGCGTCAAGCACGTCATTTCGAATCTGGAGCAAGAGCTCCGAATCTTCCCCAAAGGTGTCGCTGCCGGGGTCTCTCCCCTTGTCCGTGCGGAACTTCAGGAGCACTGGGGAAGGAGAAGGGAGGGAGGTTAAAGAGCAAGTCTTCTCACAGTAAGTGCTTGCAGATGCTGAGTGTTTAAAGAATCATTTTTTCCTTCTCCAGGAACCACACACTAATTAGCATGTGGGCCACGTGACAGGCAATAAATACACTTTTCATTTATTCAACAAATACAGTCAGAAAGGTAATTAACTAATTACAAAAATAACTAAAACGCCTGTGATGAGGGCCAGGACAGCGTCCCAGGGGGTCTGGCACCGCGGGGGAGGTGTCAGGTGAGGAACCAACCGGGGTGCACATGTGGGCAGGGGCGGAGCAGCCTTTCCCACAGGGAGGAGGTCTGCTCTGGGGCCAGAGCAGAGCTCAGGAGCAGGAGGGGCGCGCTCCAAGCATCCGTTCAAAGGGCTGCGTCGGCCAGAAAGGCTGGCCAGGGGCTCAGACTCATCAGCCAGGCAAGTCATTACAAACAAACCCTCCCTCAGTGCCGCAATTATGTCAGCCTCCAGAAATGAGTGTTTAATGTTGGTTGTGAGCCGGAGAAAGGTTGAGATGACGGCAGCCAATCAGAACTACCATGTAATGAGACCCTCGCAAGGCTTGCATTTTCAGCCCACCGAAGAGCCACAGGCAGGAGAATGGTTAAGGGTGACCCAAATACAAACCTCTCCTACTCCCACCGTACCTGCCCACAACGCTCGTGGCGTGCCTCGGGTCTCCAGGGCACTGCCCCCCGCCCCCCACGCAGGCTGCATGTATCGGTGAGACAGAGACACATGGATCCTGGGTGCTCTGGGACAGCACCTCCTGGGTGCTCTGGGACAGCACCTCGTACCTGACGGGGACTTTGCAGCTCACAAAGTGCTTCCATGGAAGTCTCATCCTTATTGGCTGACTGAAAAAGTAAACTTTTCCAGCAAACTATACTCTCTTATCAGTACAAGGGGCTCGTCCCCCAAAATAAAGGTGGATCGAAAACACAAGGCAAGTGCCGTGAGGCCCTTTGAAAATGTGTTTGGAGCCCACCGCAGACTGAGGGGTGAGCCCTTCTTTCTACCTGTTTCCTTGAGACTTGCAAACAGCCTCGGGGACGAACAGCCACGCCCGGCAGACGGACAGGCTGTCTGCGTGCGTGAAGGTGGCGGGGAGAGAGCAGGGAAATTAGGAGTCACAGCAGACGGCTCCAATGAAGCTGGAGACGTTCATAAACGGATTATCAAGTGTTCCGAGAGGGTCCCCACCCACGGAGCCCAGGGAAAAGGAGACTCAGCCTGCCCCCGGGCTCTGCCTTTCACAGTGCCAGTGCCAGAGACTCGCTCTAGTCCGCTTCTCTGGCAACTCTCAAGTGCCCAGTGTGGGGCTCTGCACAGCTCGGGTTTAAAAGAAAGGGGAGAGGGAGGGCTTCTTGAGAACAGCTGTTTTGCACACTGTTTGCCATCTGGGAACAGGACTCTCCTCTCTTTCAAGAAAGTAGCTCCTCGAACCCTGCACGGTGCCTGACCACTTTGCAGCCAGCTCAAGACTGATGACCGGTTTGGGTGCTCTGAACTGATCTGCTTTCTCCTCAGCTCAGTGTCTACCTCTGCAGATGCACTGCTGGGACCCCAGTTTGGAGTAAGTCAGTGTGACCGCAGAAGCATCGGGGGGCAGGGCAGAGGAGAGACAGCAGGAGAGGCAGTTAGATAATCCCTGTTCAGACCAAGCCTCTTTTCCAGCAGCATCCTGTGAAGACAAAGGAACCGGAAACCCGCTAGGCCAGCCCAAGGAGAGGGTAGGCTGAGTGTCCCCTATGAAATGCCAGTGCTGGCACTGTCCATCCCTCCCGAGAGGACACGACCGCAGACCCAGAATGTGGATTGGTGCTGCCCACGCTGATGACGGAGGCAATGCCCAGTGCAGCCGCTGTACCGCACGGCCCAAGGCCCAGCGGCAGCCACCAGGGAAGTGAGAGAAGCCGCTGGACCTCGGGCTGTCAGGGTGGCGGACAGCTGCTGGTGTGATCACTGGGACAGAAGCATCAACTACCGTGGGGGGGGGGCGAAGAAGTCATTTTTATAGACATCGTCACAAAGCTTTTCATCTTTTAGTTAAACATAAGCTCCTGGAGAAGAGCTCAAACCATCATAGCAATCCAGCAAAACCAACAGTGCCTACTGGATGCCAGGCATCATCATGAAGACTCTGCATACTGACCCTCATCCAGAACTCCCTGCTGAGGTCAGCATGTCCTAGCAGCCTCCCTGCTTTATAGGAGCAGAAACCGAAGTTCAGAGAGGTTAAGTGGCTTCTCCAATGTAACTGCCAGTATGTGCTGGAGTGGAAATGCTAACTCTGGCATGGAGACTCCGGGCTTAACCCAAATCGAAACCAGAAGTGGCAGGGCCACTGGGAACGCAGCCCCAAGGGTTCCGAGTGGTCTGGCCCTTTGCCCCACGCCCGCCCCCCCAGGACTCCCATACGACCGCATCGTCATGCCTTTCCCAGATGGGCCCTGCCCGCTCTCGGCTGGCCCGTTAACTGTGAGTTACAAGTTCACGCATGAGAAGTGGAGGCAGAGGCCACAGGAAACCCTGCCCGTCAGTCTTCGGAGAGTTGGGCTGGCTTTGTCTCAGGAAGAACTAAGATGGCACTAAGGGGCCGCCAGCAGCGGGCCCTGCTGTTTCTCTGCGCCCCTCGCCTGCTTCCGGTGCCAGCCGCCTGGATGAGGGCCGGCAGGCTGGCACCGTCCAGATACCTCGCTGACCACGTCTGAAGCCCTCTCAGGGCCTCTGGGAAGGAGGCCAGTCAGTCCGGCCACTTCTTTGCAGCAGAGCAAACAGAAGCTGCATTTCTTACTCTTTTTCAAATGTCAACACTCCAGTTAGCAGGGCGGGAGGGGCTGGGAAGAAGCCCATGTCCTAGATAGGCGGCGGCCTCAGAAGGGACCCTGGCCCCCGACACGTTCCTGCTTATTAAATTCTCCTTTGTTCTGCCCCCACCCCTGCCCGCCCGCACACCCAGACACACACACACCACCGTTGACTCTGCGTTTCTGGAGAGCACCCCCCGCACCAGGCTGCAGATCAGAAAGCTGCTCTATTAAGATCAAACATCTTCAGGACCAGAGGGCGGCTCTGCCAAAAGATGACTCATCGAATGTATCAAAACATTGCACAGAATTAGAGTTCCAAACTTGATTAAGTTCATCTGAACCTTTTAATTAACTCAGGTTGTTGAAGTCCGGGGAAGTGACAGTCACCGCTGCAGACGACAGGCTGGTGGCTCTGCTGCAGACGAGAGCTTGTCCACAGAACAGAAAGGGCAAACTCTGGGAAGGGAAAACTACACACCTCTCTGTGTATTAGGGGGAAAGCTGTGCACGTGTGAATAATGATTAATGCTGTAAGAAGAAATGAACGCAAATTCAAGTTTAATCGGAATCGGAATACCAGATTTGTTATTCCAGGAATTTGGAAAGCAGTATTATTAATCACTGTATTTCTTTCCAAAAATCTCTTATTGCATTTAAACAATGTGATTATATTTTGCACACTTCAGAATCCCCATTCTGAAATGAAATCCTTCTTCATCTGAGGTCACTGGCAGCCCAATTCTAGCGCTGCCCCCCAAAACAGCTCAATCAAGGGGGTGGGGAGACAAATCTATATAAAAATCTCATCTGCCTAACTGACAGCCACCTGAAGCTTTCCCTGTCAGAGACCGCACTCCAATCTGGTGCGCCCCAACCTACTGATAAGCCTCCTCCCTCAGAGGAGCCGGTCATTCTGGGGACGTTTTGGAAACCAGCGCCACTCCTGGGGCACGTAAACGTCCAGGAAAGTGAGACGTAGTTATCCTCTTGGACAACTGCCCATCTGCTAAGGCAAAACACCTGCTCTGACACTTAATTGTTTGTTCTATAAATACGTACCAAGAGCAGACTCTGTGCCTGGCCCTGAGCTGGGCAAGGAAGAGCAAGCCTCACAAGGCAGCAGAAGGTGGGAACCAGAAGAAGAGCCCTGAGAGAGTGCGATGGTGTGGGAGTGGGGAGGACTCACGGAGCAGCCAGGCTCCCCACCAGAGACAGGACCACTGCCTCCTCCTCGTGGTTTCCCCAGGCCTGAACACACCCCCCCATCCTCTCACCCTCAGAAGGCTCACGGGCTGCCTGAGGGTCCACTGCCCCGTCTTTCTGTGAAGCCCTTCCCAGGGACTGGCAGGCCGCAGAGTGCGGCAGTGAGGAGCCCAGCTCTGGAGCCAGACGGCCTAGGCTGGACCCCACCCCTTTCCCTTTACCATGACCTAGGGCAAACGACAGCGCCCGTGCTTCCTCTACAGAATAGGAATCACAAAAGCACCCACCTCACAGGCTTTAAGGATTAAGTGAACTGACCCTGACAGACAGTGCTGAAGATGCGGAGCAGGAATTCAGTAAATGTCTGTGCTCCTGAATCCTGGCCCCCCTCCCCAAATCTCCATAAACCCAGCCCGCGTGCCCCCAGAGCTGACATGTGTACATGCTGAACTTCCTCATTCAACAGAGCCACCAGCGATTCAGCTGTGGGCTCTGGAGACAGTGACCGGTAAAAGATGCTCTCTGAACCCCCGTTCTCCCTTCAGAGCTCTTAATTGCAACTTGTGATTAAAATAAAAATTCTTTTTATCCTCACCTGAGGACATTTTTTCAATGCTTTTAGAGAGAGGGGAAGGGAGACAGAGAGAGATAGAGAAAGAAAGAAACATAGATCGGTTGGCCCCTCACACACACCCTGACTGGGGACCAAACCCACAACCCTTTGGTCCACGAGACCACGCTCCAACCAAGCGAGGCACGTGGGTCAGGGCTCAACCTGTTCAGGGCTCAACCTGTGATTTACAGTTCCCTGTTGAGTGCACTGGTACAAGGACCAACTGTCTTCTCTGCTAGATGCTCACTCTGTGGGGTGGAGACCAAATCTGTTTTGTCACCAGCGCTCATTTGATGCTCCCTGCAGGCACCGAGACCGAGTCTGCCCAGGGGGAAGCCTC